ATAATTTTTCTGCAAGTCTAATAAACAATCTGTAATTACTGATCAGAAATTAACTAATAACTGTCAAAACAATTTTTTTCAAGAACACCTCATATCATTTCTCAATCGAGGCATTCAGATAGCTAACTTATTTTTGATATACTTTTGATACTGAAGGCTTTTGCCACAACTGTAATGGTCCACACAAGCTGAATGTGCTGAATTTAAAGAAAACGAGAGAGAAATCTGCTTATTGCATCATTTAAAAAATACATGTATTATTTAAAAGGTCACTTTATAACTCTCTTCAACAACTGGCGCTGCAACTATGAAGCCAGTTCTTCAGCAAAAAATGTCAAAAACTTTTTTTACAGGGATGGTAATCATAGAGACTCAAGCTAGTATTTTGAAAAATTGAACTGGTTCTCATGAAATCATAGTTTTTCACAAGATTTAAAGGAGGGGTTGTCTCTTTAATTTGTTAATTGTGAAAGGTGAAGATGTACTCTGTATGAGATATAGTTGACCTGTGTAAGTAAGTAGTATGTAACATGTAGTTTTATATGTTAATTAGGGTAATTACATGTTAACCTTTACCTGTAGTATTATCAAGGTACATGTTAAATCTGTTGATGTTGAGTATCAGTCTATACATCCTGACCCAATGTAATAAAACAGCTGTTTCCTACATTAAAGATGGATTATGTAAGAGCTAAATCAGCCTATTGCAGGTCTTTATTTTGGCTTCAAATGTTATAAGCTATTATTTAGACATTTATTCACATGACAAAGCCTATAATCAGTCTAGACCCTCGAATGGTGGAAATTTGAATGGATTAAAACACGGTCCCCATTTAATGATTTAATTTAAAAATGGTGAATCAAGGTTAAGTCCGGAATAACAAGTACCATTGTTACGATAATAAACAATCCATGCCACATCTTGTCCAGGATTTCGAACTGTGATAACTTCACTCAGAATAAAGTAATTTGAATGAAATTTTTAATATAAACTTATTCTATCATTTTGTAGTACGATACATGTATCTATTTTTGAACTATTAAAATATAGCAAGAACGGATAACTCTTTATCTAAATCTTACATACATGTAATTCATCTTTGATACATGATGGCCTTATACATGTATTGCTGTTGAACACGTAGGTATGTCAAAATTTGTCAAACAATTGGGTTAACAGTAGTACAAGTACACCCGAGACTAGACTGTAAGCCATCAGAGAATTATACCCTATGATATATAGGGCTACACAGTTGTATCACCTTTTGTAATTCAATCGGCCTATACATGTACAATATGTGTACCTGTGTGGTCCAATCCAATCTCCCTCTCTCTCTCTCTATAGTTTTTAAGAAAGTAATGGTCTGTCCATTGATTGGGGATGGAAAAAAACATGATTGATGTACCTAATAATCAGAATTGCTAGGTCTAACCTGCTTTCAACTCACATTTGATTTTGGGGATTAATGGGAAAATTATATCTTTTTACTTAAATTTACTTAAGATTGTTGCTTACAAGAAACAATGATTACTTTTAATAGAAATAAACACCTTTACTCTTGTAGAAATTATAATTGGTTGCTTCGTCGACACTTTAACTTCTTGTAATGGACTTGCTGTGTCAAAATTATATAGATTACGTTGCTAGATTGATCATTATAGATTGATGGTATTATAAATGCAATCTCAGACATAGGCTATGCCACTATACACACTATAAAAATTGGAAGTCTGACTACAACTTCGAAAATTGAATTATTTCAACTTTCTTATTTTACATGTATAAACTGCATGCACCATATTCAAGTCAACATTGTGTGAGTTCCCTGAATCTCCAATAACCATAGTTTAAAAATAGATGGCTGAAAATGTTCCACTTTCCCCAAAATATCTATGACCTTTGCTCTTATCTATTATTTATTCTGAAATAAATGACAGTGGAAGTTCTAAATTTGCTCAAGCTGGCATGTAGAAAAGTTTGTTTCTCACAATTTAAACTGAAAGAAAAATTTGATACCCTGTAGGAATTTCAGACTTGTTGGTGCCTATAGAGTCCCCACCCCTCTACATCTTGAAGTTGAATTCCTTTACTGGAAATATTAGAAGAATGAGGCATCTTTCATGTTTGACAGAATTGAGAAGAGTTGATAATTCAGTTTTATTTAACGCTTTATTTATTGTGAATGTATTATGGAAGAGTCACTGAATAATATTGTAAAATTATTGAACTTGCTTTACATGAATAACCATTATGATTTTATTTTATAATTATGCTAATATGTAGAACTGGTTTATACCCCCTACAAAATCTTCTATGATGGAGTTTGCAAATAAACTATCGATTTTGAATTGCTAGATCAGTTTAGAATAGGCTTATATTATTATCTAATATCTACACGCGAATTTGATGTCTTAGCATTTAATGAGTAATAAAAAATATCCATTTCTGTCTTGAAAATAAAAAATATCCATTTTTGTCTTGAAAATGAAAAACATCAATATTTAGAATGATGCACATTATTATTTGTATGCTAAGGAGGGAGGCTCAATTTTTTAAAACTTCCTTAAAAATAAACCGTTTCTTATGAAATTTGAAATGCCAAACAAGATTCTGACGTATTCATCAAGTCTGGTCTATTCACAAAAATAAAAAAAACAGACTATACTTTGAAAGTACAATGCCGTCAAGGCACTTGGAAATGTCAAAGAATTATATGTTGGGGATAAATTGTTTATTGTTCTGCAGATCGATTTTCTTTTCCTCCTAACAAATGAACGGTACAGTGTTTCCTTTTCAACAGTTTATATTATAACATCCTTGTATTATATAATATCCTTGTATTATATAATATCCATTCTAAACAAGAAAGATCTTTTTATTGTTATTAACATAAAGTCCTGTGTTTTGACCGATATACATACAATATTTATTTCCTATTACTATAAATGATTTTTTTATTAAGATAAATTAAGATCAGAATAAGAATTATAAATTTGCTCAGATGCATAAGATTCTGTTGTAACTGTACTATGTAAATTTAAGAAGCTGATCTTATCTGTAATACCTCATTCTCTAAAGTCTGAAATGATAATTTGTTAAAAAGACAATTTCAGTTTGTGTTGACATTTTTGAAAATAATTTTTTAAATTGAACTCGATAATTTAGCAAAAATATTTATGGTTCAAACATCAAAGTGTATGAAACAGTATCTTTCATGGTGATATGAATATCCATTTTAAAATGCAAGAAGGGACACAATGACACAATAGAATATCTAAACCACATTTCTTTAAATGTGTGTATTTGATTAAAATATGTTTAAAGCTCACTATAGAAATTTGATCATTTTCATCAATATCAACAGACAGCTGGATGAATATTGACTTGAACTCGACAATATTTGAAACAACAAGAGGCAGAAACTAATACTTTTTCCAAACAATAGGCCTAATGATGTATTTTTGTTCAAATTTTAATTTACCAAGCTGTAAGCTACATGTAGCCCTAGTACATGCGAATCAATACATTTATTATTATGTTTTACATGTATCTCTTTTTCGTTCATTTAACAGTAGGAAATCCTATATACATAACATTAAAGTAACTGTCATTTGAATTTTTTGCTAAAAAATCAAATTTCTCACAGCTTATCCATGCTAATATGTACTCAAATTGATGATTTAACATTTAATTGTTTTTGTTCGAACAAATGCATTGTTAAAGCGCTGGATAGCTGAATGGTCTAAAGTGTTGTGCCATAAGTGTGTCATGCGTATAAAATAAATGATATCTAACTCAGACAAGTCACCTGTGTTGAGCCTTACCTTGTTTTATCTTGTTTCCTACCACCTAATACAAAAACATGTAATACAATGTTAATCCTAAAATAATAGGTTTGTTTAATTTTTTCTCTGTATATATTGAATTTAAAATCAGGTTAAATTTTGGTTATTTTTCAAGCTGATTGCTAGCCAACTAGATTTTGTAACAACTTTCTTTCAATTCTGTTTGACATTATTAGATAATATGACCTAGCTAGCTGTGTTTTGTTTAAAATACCAAAATGTTGCCAAGATACTATAAAGAACGGCTTTTGGGAATCCAATAATCAAAACATCTTGATGGTAATCGTCTATTTTATGGGTAAAAAGATGGAGATGATTTGAGTTGTCTTTGATGTGTAGACTAACACGACTAGTCAATTACACAGTAAATAACATTAGGCATAACATGCGATTGAATACCATCTTATGTATTAGGCATCTTGTAACCAGTTTGTTAACCGTCATTATTTATATATTTGTAGAATGTTGTAAAATTATTATATAGTTAAGGAAACTAGTGATAAAATATCAGTTTCATTGAGTGTTAATTACAGTCATTTACTACATGTACATTTACATGTGTATACCTATTAGGCATCTTGTATCTTTCTATGGTTTTCTTGGCTAGCTGATATAGATGCTCCAAATGTTTTATTGATTGGAACATTGTTAAAATGTGTAGTTTTGTGCAGAAGTTTACTGTAATTGAAGTTGGTGAAATGAAGACAAATATTATAATGTAGCCTCCTGTTATATATGTAGCTGTATCCAGCAGGCTACACAAATTAGTAATTGTACAAAGTTATGGCGTATATCACTTGGCAAACCTCAGCAGATTCCAGTACCCTACATCTAGCCTCGGCTGTATGACGAAGTCCGCCATCGCAATTGTATAGGCGTAGGTACATATCACTTGCCTTCATACAGCCAAGGCTAGATGTAGAGTAACAGAATCTGCCGTGGTTTGCCGAGTGGGGCGTATAAGTGTGCAAATTTTTGGAGAATAGAATATGTGTACCTAAGCCTGTATCTATCTCCCACCCGATAGACTAAAACAGGTTGCTTATTTAACGATCTTAATCGAAAATGCCCATTTGGAAAGAAGAAGGCTGCAAGTTTTGACTATTTTGCTTGTATGAAATTCCTAAATTAGAATATGGATTTGTTTTTTTCAGGTGAGATTAGGAGATTATACAGAACCAGCTGATGCCACTAATTTTACGTGGGGACATAAATCTCGGAAACCTGATAATAGTAGTGAGGTTTACAGTGATCCTTACGAGCCTCGACGTCTTAGTGATAGTAAGTACTCTATTGTAATTAATTTCTTTCTTGTATCTTCCTCCACAATGTTACATGTACATGTATGTCTTGATGGGTCACAATGGATCTCTAATGTAGGCAACTTGGACGTAAATCATAATGCAAGTAATCGGGGATAAGAGTCAGACTTCAAGTACACCATAAGATATTGGTAAGGATAGCAAGAATATAACACACCCCACCCTACGCTTTCGGTCTGTGGGTCGGTTGTTTAGTCTATCTTCAGATCCTTGTTATACTGTGGACGCTGGAGACTGAGACTGTTTATATTTTGTTTATATTTCATGAGATGAAGAAGCCTTTTTCATTTCTTATAAATTATGAATATCTTTTTGCAGATTTAAAGCAAAGTCCAAGTTGGAAACGCCGTCTCCACCCAGGTGGTGGAGTAGTCTACGAGCTGGCGCAAACACCAGAAGTCATTTACGATCATCCTCCTTCTCAACAGGAGGAGACAGAGGAGGAGGATGAAGATGCTGATGATTACGATAAACTTGATCGCAACAGGTCTAGATCATCGGGTGAAAAGAAGAAAAACAAACTTCCAGATAATTATGATCACGTTCCACCAAAACTAGAGCCAGAAATTAAAAATGATGATGATTATCTGTTAGCTCAACCTATTGGTTGTGATCAAAAACAATTATTTAAAAATCAAGAGAGTGCTACGTACAATTTAAATAAATCTAGTGAAGTTAAATCCATTGAAACCATTGAGAGGAGATCGAGCCAACCCAGTGAAAACAGACCACTTCAACCCTTACCGATTAAAAATGGACACATGGATGATCCATCGATTTATGAAGAGCCGTGGGATTCTCAGGTAAAGCAAATGGAATTACAAAAGAAAATACAGCGCGCCCACAGTCGAACGGAAGATCACGCAAAAATAGCTTCTCAATTATCAACCCCTTCCTCTTCGTCGTCTTCATCTCTAGGTGATAAACTTAACTCCCCTGAAACCAAAATAACTATCCGATCTCCAAGTAATAACTCTGCAAACTTTTACGAAGATGCTTGGGACTCCCCTAAAAGACAACAACAATTGCAAGAACAGTTACGCATGGCCCACAGTGTTTCCAATTCTTCATCTTCGTCAAATACCTATGAAGATGCTTGGGATACACCTGAAAGACTTTCACAAGTTCACCAAAAAATTCAGCGCGCTATGAGTCATGAGGCTCCTGCAAAACCTCGCCCAGCTGTCAATGAGATGGGAACGTACGCAGAACCGTGGGACACGGCAGCAAGACAGAAAGAATTACAGGACAAATTACAAGCTTCACATATTCGAGCACAAAGGAAACAGAGTGGAGGTAGTTTATCGGCACATTCTACAAGTTCTCAATTATCAGTTGGTTCATCAGGATCACCCTCTAGTCCCACTAGACGTAACATGTATCCTGATTATCGTACTGAAGACATCATGGATCATTCCAGATCTAAAGGACGTAGAAGTAGTTCAACAAGTAAGTTTTGTTTCATGTAATCCAGCTTTAATCCTTCTTGTTTTAAACCTTTGAACAATCAACCATTGTAACTTACATTGCACAAAGCATAAAATTTTGCACAAAATGATACAAATAGCCGAAATTTCTGATACTTCATCAGCATAATATAAAATATAAGCTCCCAAGGTGAAAAATATTGTATTCTATTACCTCAAATGGGAAGTATTATCAGGTGTTTGGCAATCCTGGAAATACATGTTATCTACCTGTCACAGACAGCATCAGGAACAAATTCAGGCCTAGTCACATACACTCCATTTGATGCTTGTCATTATTTCTAGCACATATTTTTTTTTTTTTTTATAATAGAGTTTTATTGATATTACTACATATCTGACATGTATAGGGTACTACTACTACTGCTGGTTCAATATTGATTGACGTTTTGTAGTGCTGCAACGATATATACACGAGACGGTATATCGTTGTGTGCCTTCCACAGTTCGGTTCATATACTTTATGCTTTTTACCGCGGTTCGGTAAACACAGTACAAATTTTTTTAAACTTCTGTTTTCTTTCGATACCAAACTATCATGCAGAGTTATGGTGGGTTATGCCCCGTTGTAGGTCATGTGACAAAGAGGAAAGATGGCTTTCGGCAATGAAGCATGTGCCTCCAGCGAACCAAAAACCATGGATATGGAAACATTTTGGATTAAAAACACCAGTTCGAAAAAGCATGGCTAATAATTTGACATGTTGCCATTAAATAATATGTTATGTACTTGCTTTTATTTTTTAAGTTAATTTGGAAAGAAAAAATACTGTGATATGTATTGTATTGTGAGGTCCATACCGCAATACGTATCGTATCATGAGGAGAGCATATCGTTGAAGCTCTAACGTTTTATCAGTTTTATATAAAATCATTAGGTGGGTGGGTGCCGAATGGTTAATGTGTGCACATTGGATTATAAGGTCTCTCATTGAGTCAAGTGGTGTGGTTTCGATTATTCCCTTGTACATGACAAGGAGAAGGTTCACCTGTCCAACTTCCTGGGTTTTCTCCAGATCCTTCAGTTTCCACCCACAGCTAAAGACCCCTATAAGCAATCAAATTATTGCATTCAAATTTAACCATTTGTTAGTCCTGAATTAACCTAGTTTGTGTCAATGGATGTAAAAGCCCATCTCTCTCACTTTTTCTCTCTCAAATCTTTATTGAGAGACCTGCTGACAGAAAATGTCAGAAAATTAAGAGACTTTGATCTTCTGAAGCTTTCTGCGCATGATAGTCAATGAAGTTAATGTTCTGTGTGCTTATTTACTTTGCTATCTGAAGTTTATCAGCCTAGTTTAGAAGATAATAAACACAAGAGAACCGAACCTTTGTCAAAGTGTTGCCAGTAATTAATTGAATTACTTAATTATTATTCAATATAATTATGGTATATTTTTGAAGTAGATTATTCTAATAAGCTTATACGTAAAATTAGTTTCTATCAAAATGAAAAGTACTGATTTTTTTTTTTTTTTTTTTTTTTTTTTCTCCCAGAATCAACTCAGTCAATGAGTCCATCATCTGGAGGATCACCAACACATCGTAGTCGACAACAATGTTGTACTTTTGGTGAACGTATCAACCCTCTAATACCTGTAGATAGTCAAAGGTAAGTTGACATTTTTTATGCGGCCTTATTTCTTCCTCAATTTATTAAGATCGTTTACATCCCACAGTGTAAGTTATTGTAATCCATAGTTACTCATAGTTTTATAGTATATACTAACATTATTTAATATAAAGTATCATTGCCATGCCAACCTCATGAGTTTTCTCGGGTCCTCCGGTTTCCTCTCACTGCTAAAGACCCCTACTCGCAAGCGAATTATCGAAATAAAATTAAACCATATGTTAGTCCCGAAATGACCTAGTTTGTGTCGAGTGGACATAAAACTCCATTTCTCTCTCTCTCTCTCTCTCTATCATTGCCATGGTCAATATTGCTTTTGACCGTTTATATTGTTGCATTCAGATTTTGAAACAAAAAGGTGATAAAACATAAGCACAACAATAACCGTAAAAATGTTCTTCTGATCAATGTTGCATTTGAAAAGCTAAAGCATGGCATTACATGTAAGTGTGTTAATGAAATAGGTCCATGTATAGGTAGTCTGATAGTATTATTTACTTGGAAAAAAAAGGGGGGGTCAAAAAACTGTCTGCTTTGCAATTTTATTCAGGTATTAATATCGTAAAATGACCATGTTTACAGTATTATAGAGGTCTATTGTTCTAATTCAACATTCTAGACAGAAGAGAATAAAATATTCTAAAATATTTCTTTAATGTGTTTTGTAGAAATATTGTAATATATTTCAGTTGGTATCATGGTAATATATCCCGCCAAGATGCAGAGAATATTTTACGTGTTTGTAAAGAGGGAAGTTTTCTAGTAAGAGATAGTGAATCTGATAGAGGACAAAAGTCACTCTCACTTAAGTAAGTTGTACTATAAAATATACCTACCGGTAATCAGACCTAGTAATAATAGCCATTGTCAGGCTTTTTAATGGAGCTGATGGTTAATTTTGGCCACTAATCATTAAATATACGTTTTTATAAGCCCACATTGAAATGTGGTCATATGTATTGTCGTCGCCCCCGTCCGTTCGTCTGTGTCGCGTCCACAATTGTTTGTGGATGCTCTAGAGGCCAAAGTTATAATATCCGATTGATTTTAAATTTATACACAGTGTGTATGGTCGTGGGACGAAGAAGCCCAGTGATTTTCAATGATTTCCGATAATTACTACCAGAGTTATGGCCCTTGATCACTTTGAAAAATCTTGTGGATGCTCTAGAGACCAAAGTCAGCATCTGATTGACTTTTGATTGATAAACAGAGTTTAAGGTCTTGAGATGAACAAATATATTGATTTTCAATGGATTTTGATAACTTGAACAGCTATATTCATGATATTAAATGTTTCGTATACTAAACGTTAGCATGGGGCAGAACTAAAAGCCAAACAAATTCTAATGGTTTTCTGATAATTACTTAATGAGTTGTTACTCTTAATCAGATTTTAGTGTATTATAAATGTTCCATTACCGACAATAGAAAAAATATGTTGACTGCTCGGACGATTTAGCTGCTGTGGGTGTATGTTTCGTTTCCTGGCAGCCTATCTTTCAATGATGATGTCCATATATACATGTTGGCGCACTTTCCCCATGATCAACTGTTACCCGTTTGAATTTACAAATTATCTTTTATGTGGAATTTGAATTGAAATAACCATTATCTTTAATTATCCTTCATGATTACAAATTGCTGCATTGGAGATTAGTGTAAGCTTTTGTATGATTATTATAACAGTAATATTAAATATTGTGTCCAAGTTTCATACTTATTGATTATTGATTAAATGCTGTTGACTGACTATTGAGTATTCAGTCATCATTGATGAATATTAGCTACTTGACTTCCGTACTGCAGACTGAAAATATTTATGCATCATTTGTTTCTTTGAAGGGTTGTAACTGGAAACCAGTTGAATTTTTAGACTGAATCCCTTTTAGAACTTAGCCTAAAGTTAATCAATCTTAAACATACATTATGCAAGAACTAAATGTGCCTATTGCAAGTCTTTATTTAGGATTCAGATATTATAGAAATTATTAATTAGACCTTTACATGTATTTACACGACGAGTTCAAAATCAACTCTGTAGACCCACGGATGGCTTGTATACAGTTTGGATTTAAACTGTTGTCCATTTAAAATTAAATCAATAAATGGCGGACCAAGCTAACATTTACCGTTAGTCACTGATGTCATTACCGGAAACTGGTGATGAAAGGCCTGCCAAGTGAGGCTACCATAGCCATTGAGCATATTACTTGATAATTGAGAATATGTGGGTGGAGTTATCGTCTGTCAATCAAACGATCGTCAATTCTCATAGACGGTGCAGACACAATTGATGCCTATTTCTAGTCCAAACTTCCAACAGTGACAATTCCATTCAGAACAAAGTAATTTGACTGAAATTTTCAACATTTTCTTTTTTTAACGTCTATTTTCAAGAATTATTATAGCAAGAATGGCCAACTCTTTATAAAACTCTTAACTAATGTATCTTTAACTAAATAAAGTGTTGTTTTCTTTTTCAGAAGTTTTCGTATGAACATTCATGTCAAGATAATATTAAAAGTCACTGGAACCTACATCCTGGGTGAAAATAGTCGCGATTTCAACTCTATTCCAGAAATGATAGACTATTATACATGTCATTTATTACCCTTGAAAGGAGCAGAACACATAACATTACTTCACCCAGTAGATTGTAAGTGGGCTGAACAAAAACAGTGATCATTTGTACAGTTTTCGAGTCTGGTTAAGAAAGAGTGTCCATTTTGGATGTCTTGATGACCCAGCCTAATCACACCAGACTTTAGCTAATAGGTTTTGGTTGATCAGGACAAATATATCTTATCTGGACAATTTTTGTGCATTGACTGATTGTGGTATTAACTGATGTTAATGTAGGGATTAATAGAGGTTACAGAATACCTCAAGGGATGAGTGTGACTGTGATAAAACATTCCCTGATGTAAAGGGAGTCAACTCCATATACCAGAAATTATCTAAGTAGAGAATTGGACAATTTTCTTGAATTTTGAGAGAGTTGAATGTTAAAATAAGACAAGACAGGACAGGTTTATTTCTTTGTAAATTCATTTCTTAAGACCAATTATTCGTCCCAATAATATATTTTTTCTCATTTAAAAATAACCCTTTAGTATCGGCCTTCTTACAGCTTCTCCATCAGAAAATTAATCCATATTTTTCTGCCTATTCTTAGCCTAATAGCAATATGTGTACTCCTTAGCTGCTGTAACATAGAATATTTTTTAAATTTACAAGCAGATTGGCATGAAAGAGATATCTGGTCTTTCAAAAATCTTTTTTGATTGCATATTGTATGTAACACATTGTACATAAATGTGTATTAAATTTTGATTGCATATTGTATGTAACACATTGTACATAAATGTGTATTAAATTTTGTAAAGATTAAAAAAACAGTCATAATATTTACAATACAGCCATATCATTATTTATTTGTATGTAAATGTATTTATTTATATAAGCATAGATAATAAACATATTTATAAAGAGGGAACAAATACAAATAACACTACAAAAGAAAGAAATGTTACGATAAGATCAACATTTATGATCATCACATTCATTACATGTATCTCTCAAAATAATGACCTATTTTCAACCTTTTGGTATCCTCAATTATTTTTATGCTCCCACAGTTATCATGGACATACTTTTGTATTTTGTGAAAATAAATTTAAAAGGACTTTACATATTGGACTAAACAGTTTACAATAATATTTCTATACAAAGATTTGTAAATTTACCTAGTTTCAGTGCATGTAATAATATCTTATCTGATGCCAATGGTTCCTATCTTATACTAGATTGATTGTCTCAAGTTATGGTGAATATTTGAACTAAATTGAAGCATATAATATGTCAACAGGTGTATATCATGAAGACTTGTGTAAATAGTTCCTTTTATAATCAGGCTTTGATCTCACCAATTTATTTATAGCTTTGTCATTTAACAAAATATAATCATGAGAGCAAAATAACCAAAAATATATGCAAATTTAAGACCCATCATATTTATTTAAATATCTTAATATTTTAATATGTGTAATCATAATTAATCCACAAATTTTATGTATTATATAATAACCAATACTACATGCTTGTAATAGATGTTTAGGCTTCCACTGGATACATGTACAGTATGTGTGTGCAAGCTTATGTGTTTAATATGAAGTCAAAAGGTACATGGATTGAGGACAATTTCTATATTATTTCACAGGCATTCTTTAATTCTGCAAGTCAATTGAATATTTTGGAGCTTGTTTTAATAATATACGATTTATTGTATTGACATTTACCTACAGTAAACAGGCTATGTGTAGCAATATCTGATTGATCATAAGTTTTTATTATGGTACAAAAAAGGTCCAGATCTCTTTTTAGTCAATCAGATATCAAGGTATGTTAAAAGAGCTAAGCCTGTAACTCAGTATTTTCCATAAAATTCGAAATTAAAAACGCAAATTGAAATTCAATATCGGTCTATTTCAATCAATATTGATGTTGTTATCTTGCCATGAAAATATGGGATCCAAATATCCAATATTCAAGATATAATGAACATGTTGAAATCACTACACAAGTTGTGTATTACAGTTTCGGATGCCATTTGTAATGAACAAAGAAAAGCATTTCCTACACAAACGATGTTATCTTAATCAAAAAAAATGTGTAGAACGGACTAATTAGGCATAAACGACTGTGGTTCAATTTGGATTATTCCTGTATTTCACTGAACATATTGATTAGAATTTACAATAGAAAATTTAAAAACTTTCTATACATTCATATTACATTAATATGTGCTTTTAGACCCGTTTTCGTCTATTTTAAGGATCTAAAAATAGAGACATAAGCCCTTTAAGGCTCTTGTATAAATTTCAACTTCCATGTCTATGCCATCTGTACTATGATAACACATTTTACACATTAGTAGAATACAATTAAATATTTATCATTTGAGAATGCCTTTGAATTTTTATACACCCACATTTTCATGTGGACATATATTGTCGTCGCCTCTGTCCGTCCGTTGACAATTTGTTTGTGGGCACTCTACAGGTGACAATTTTTATCCCATTTTGATGAAACTTGATATATAGGTTTATCTCCCAAATAACTCGGTATCCGATTTAAAAAAAAAGTTCAAATATTCCACCGTAATGACATTTGAGTTTAAATTTCATGAAAATCGGACCGAAACTGTCTGACAAAATGGACGCTCCCCCGTACACAAATAGTGCAAAAGTATGTACAACTAAGGTTGTGGAGCCCCTAGAGGTCACAATTTTATCCGATTTTGATGAAACTTAAAAAAATCTGTTTATATCCCCAAATTCTGGGTTGCTTTAGATACTTGTGCATATCGGACCGTAACTTTCTGGATTATGGCCCTTGATTGCCTGAAAATCACTTAGTCCATCTCTTGCAAAATGTGGGCATATCTTGCTTGTTTTTTCATTTGGAAGGAGGTCATACTTTGTTTTATTTGTCCCGTTCATCCTTTCGTACTAAGCAGAATACAAATATGTGCAATTTAAGGATTTATTTTGTATATTTATATGTTTGTGTTTATATGGACCAATAGTGCAACTATTGTTGATATTAATCAAAACAAAATATTAGTTGGTTGCTACAAAAAGTTCAATTTATCTGTATTGTCCATCTGATTGCCTTGGATTTAAAATTAATCTTAGGTCAATATATTAGGACTTAATATGAAATAAAAATTGACACAAACTTTGGAAAATATTGAAAAAGTAGTTACTATTGTTTTTATACAAAATATTTTGGAGCAATCCAGTCATTTATGTTCAATATAAATTCAAAGAGATGGTATGTTATATTTGGAATAAAAATCTCAACGTTATACAACTGTGATGCGTTTTATTTTGATCCAAGGGCTTTGTTGTTATTTGAACATAGTTCCTAGAAAATCATAAATCCATTTTGATGCCGACATAGAAATGTTATGGTAGATAAAATCGCTCGTAAATTGACGTAGATAAGAGGATCTAAATTGCTTTATTTGTGTGTTTTTGAGATTTTGTAAAGATGAATTGTTATGTATATTGAGAGACGATGTATTATTTATAAAAGGAATGCATGTGTGTTTGAAAACCCCTGAGATATGTATGTTTATAATTATGTAAAAACATAGTTTCTACTATAGCCAATAAAAAATCATTTGGTTTGTATATTTATTTGTTTTTTTTATTTCTTGTTTTGATATAAGAAAGCTGAAATCTGTTTAACAGTGGAGTAACTTCTATCCATGAATAGATTTATTACAGAAAGTGATAGGTTGCCAAGACATTAAAGTATACACGCTTTTGTCACAAGGGGGGGGGGGGACACTATTCAAGTTATCAGGACACATGACAAGAATTCCCCCATCTAAATCCTGAGAAATCTTGTAATTTTTCACAATCGGGAAGACCACGGATTAAGTTGCATTGGTCACTATTAAGGCTGTAGTTTGATACAAAGAGCATATTATCATTAGCTTGTTCGCAAGATCTTGCAAAGTTAGCAAAAACCATAACTTTAGAAATAATTCATGGAAATTGTTCCCATCTGGAAATCCTTTTTCGTTCCACTAATATGAATACTGCATATAAATTTCAAGCAGATCGTATGATAAACATTGTGGATAGAGTGTTCACAAGATGCTACAACGTAAATAAGGACAAAAACTCTAGATGTAATTAACAGAAACTTCTGAAATTCAATAGGATTCTTAATCTCACCGATGTACGCAACATATATATAGATTTGAAGAAGATCAGATTATGTCTGCAGCCAGATGACAATATACGACATTTTATTGTTGGAATATAAAACCAATTGATATAATACTGGTACTGTATCTTGATAAAGCTGATATGTGGAAGTGATTTACTGTTAAAAGGGTATAAATTTATCAATACCGATGGGAAAACAATAAACCTAAGAATGTAAAAAGGATTATTATGTAAAATTTTTATTACAAAGATTACAAAATTATGACCAGATATAAGATGATATATATTATGACTGAGGTAATGAGAATTACAAAGGTAGAAATAATTTATTATGAGATAATGTATAATATTAAATGGTTGCAAGCTTGAATGATTTATATGTGTATATGGATGCATCACAACAAATTCATTGAATCTTTCACTCAATGACTACAACACTTGATAATAGAAGCTAAAAGCTGGATGTAAATATCTATCATATAAAATTCAACATCACAAGTAAATACTACTTCAATCTAAAAATAAAATTAATTCTTTAGTTAATTTGACCGTGTTTACATATTTTCTACACTGTATAAGATTAAGTTACATAAAAGCTGCTGTTTAAAACATCTTGACATTGGGCAAGCTGTTCATGAGACTTTAAATAGTGAGTTTATAAATAGGCCATGCCAATGTAGTAATGGATAATGTCTCGTTATGTTAGCAAAAGCTGCATTTTTCATTGGCAGTTTGATAAAACTTCTGCAGTAAAGTATAAAAAATATACCGAATATAAAATAATAATAAAAATATGGTGATGAAATATATCTTTAAAACTTGTTTGGCTACTTATTAAGTAGAATCTGAACTACCATTTACCGTTTAGTTTCTTTACCATTGTAATTGGTGAAGATACATTTTTCTAGCAAAAAGTCTATATATCTATTACATGTAGACTGTTGTGATATGTGACTAGAGTTCTGTCATGTGCATGCTATTGTATTATTATATACACAAATTTCATAATGTAGCAATTTTCACAATAATTTCTGGAACCAAATATTTTGGAGTAAACATGAAAGAAAATTAAAATATTTTAGATTGTCATATGATGTAAACCTATGTTACAAATAAAAAAAAGCCTTTATGAAAAACTAATGAGTACTAGTATGTTTAGATAAATTTACCCTTCTTATACAACTTTTGATTTAAAATATTAATAGTATATACTATATTCTATCATAATAATGCAATACAAGTTATGGCATATACTATGTAAAATTTGCCTCCACCAAACTCCTATGCAGCTACATTAATCTTATAATACACTTAATAACATTACAATGTGATATCATGGATGTGCTAAAATCTCAGGTAACATGTCTGGATTTATATATACAGTATGTAGACCTAACTCAGGTGTACACAACACACAGGTATATTTTGTTAAATTACTCATCATTCAATTGGCATTTGTAGAAATAAATTACACATTTATACAAATCATGCTGCCTTTTAATTAAATACGCCTAAGTATAGAAAAGATGATGCAGGAGTTTTAAAATATATAAGAATGCCCAGAAGAGTAGATATGAGTATTCTTATACTTATAAGCACTAATGTATTGTTACTTTATATATATCCTATATATAATAATGCCCACTGTTGTCCAGTCATTACCTTTTCAATACGTTTGACAGTTTCCAAAACGTTTGAAGGTCGGTGATTGGATATTTTAGAAAGTTAGCACGAGTGTTACTCATTGTCCCCTTCAAAAATATAAGCTAGGAAGGAATTCCTGATATGACAAAAATACATAAAGATATTAAGGAATAATTTGTAAAATCCCACCATGGGCTAAATTTGGTTTAAATTTTCTTCCAATGTCGAAAAGTTATAAATTCCTTGGAAGGTCAAGAGTTTTGATTCAAAACAGCCTTCAAAATATAAAATGTAGTCTCAAATGCATACATATACATAATTCATTAAAAAAATTAAAAGTCTTAGAAATTCTAAGAAAATAACTGCCCCAAATTGTGTGCAGATATTTTGGATTTAGTTTTTTTTTTCATGGACATATTTCAATTATAAATAAAATAAAAGATATCTATGACAAATGGTTATTTTAGTGTGGCAGCAACCATAAGAATAAATTATGATTTCATTTTCACGATGAATTGAGGTTTTTTCACATGACCAAAAATCTAATGTTGTTTCATTTAATAAACTTTCTTGCGTGTACTTCTGGGAGTCTCATACTGACTGAAATCTCTAACAGGCTCGGCAGTATCAATGGTGTAAGTTCTACCAAACATGTCAGGGTCCGATTTACAGCGCCATACAAATAGTTGTGGTACTATGAGTAAGCCTAGATTTATTACCCAGAACCACACAGCAGGTATACCAGTGGTTGGAGGATGGAGTCGTGATGCCGTCTTTGAGTGAAGGGATCCAAAAATATAAGCGAACTGGGCCTGAAATCAACAAAGAAATAAATATGGAAAATTAAGTAAATAAATTCATATAAAATCATAATATTATTAGAAATAACCCTCAATTCAGTTGTTAATTACCAAAAATCTGGTCTGTCTAATGGGTTTTGTTTGCATGTAGTGCAGTCCTCCTCAACTTACTATTTTTCACCAGTGTGAAATGAACTTTAAACAACAAAACAGATATGTATGACTTGTACATAATCTTAAAACATCTATATTTCAGCATGGACCTTATAAGGTCCATGATTTCAGCAAGGCATAGTCAGGTGTACCGTGTGTCTCAAATTTTGGCATTCTAATATGAAGATGTCTGATGCTATGTTTTCCAGATTAATATCTATTGTAGTTCAAGCAGAGATAATTTAGGCTGGAGTGATCAAGACTATAAAATACCTGGCACAAATCAATCAATTCTTTTGAATATATGTGTGATAAAAGAATTACTATTATTGTTATATTTACCTGAGCTGCAGCACCAGCATGTATTATAGACCAATCAGTCATATAACTCTGATCCTTTACCAACAAACCAAATATAGCACAACAATAATATATAACAAAATAAAACAAATAGATCAGCATCTGCAATATAGACAATTATGATCATTAATGTAAGAGACAATTACGCAAATTGATAAAGATAGGCTGCCAGGCAACAAACATAAGCCCACAGCTACATTGTACATGTAAGTCGTCCAAGTGGTCGATAAAGATAGAGCATTTCATGAATCTAAAATGTGGTCATGGGCAACAACCCATGAAGTATTTATTTGATATCGTTAATTATAGGCTGAGAACTAAGTAGATAGGTAGCCCCTAAAACCAGTGAAGATAGACAAACTCCTAGTAGGTTGATAAGCTAATTTATTTGCAGACGTTTCGGACTAAAGGTGTCCTTCCTCAGCAATGAGTTTGATGGAGCGAAGCGTGCGGTATTTATAAGAATTGATTGTGACGTAATCAGATTATTCAGGAATGGTGGTGAGTGAATTGGATTAATCATGATCATCTGGGAGTGATCAAGATTATTCAAGATGGTTTATTTGATTTTTGAAAGGTGAATGTGCCAATTAATGAAATTTAGATTTGATTCTAAAATTAAAATTTTGAAAAAAATTATAGATGCCGCTCGATTCGTGGTGACATGGTAGGATGATATGCATATAATAATAGGGTGATTTTTAGAGTGATTAACAAATTAAAAATATATATATATAGATATTTGAACTAAAAAAAAATATAAACAATAAAGTTCTTAATTTTAACTGGAAAGATTCTCTGCATTATTCAAAACTTGATATCATATTAGAGGAACTGTGAAGAAGTAAGAGTAAATTGGAGAAAATACATAGCTAGATTCATGACAGCCATATGATTTCCAGCCTGTTCAGGCACTACTTGATTTTTATGCACGCTTCTTTCTTTCAAACTGATAATAACAGCAAAGTTGAAGTGCACAAAATAATAAAACAAACATCCCTTCCAAAAACCTTTTGAGAAGGGAGTTAATCTGGGCAAGTACATGTGGTACCTTGAGCGAGTTTCTTTATCATGTAGATTTCTGTTTATTACGAGTTTTGGAAAACTTACCTGGATTCTAGGATAAGTTGTAGGATCATTAATATATGGTTCGTACGATGTCACATATGATCTGATATTATCAGAATCACAACCCAAGGCAATCTGTGGAAATAAAGTATACATGGAACATAGAGTATCTGATGAAAACTCTTTTGGCGTTAGACTTACAGGTATATCATGCATAATTTCCCTTTATTGACACATAAAACATTAATTGGGGTTTGAAACTTGTACAGTGAAACTTGTACGGTCTTATCAATATATTTTTGTTTGTCATGTAAAACATTAAATTGAGATTTGAAACTTGTACGATCTAATCAAAATACATTCCTTTTATTGTCTTGTAAAAATTCAATTATTGTATACATTGTAGGAAAATTGAACTTTGTTTAACTCCTTGGAAAGTAAACAGCTGATTGTATGCACTTCGAGGAGATAATTTTCGCATATTAAGATTTTTGTATCAGTTCAGGTTATCCGTAATTGTTGTGTTACTGTAATCACCCTGGGCTAAATATCATTAAAGGGGAATTATGAAGATTAGATAAAGAGCTGACAGTTCTCACTATAATAGTTAAAAACTAGATAATGCAAAGGGAATATGCTGAAAATTTCAGTCAAATTGCTTCACTCTGAATCGAGATATTAGCAATTGAATTTTAGGCCTAGCCTTGATCATTATTACTAAAGTCGGTACAATAAAAAAACATAGTCTCGATTATCATTTTTGCATTTAATCAGCAATGAGTGTTGAACAGCAGAATGAGTTCAAATCCAGTGAAAATCAAACATATAAGATGGCATCAAGAGTTGATTAAGGTCTTTTCATGTTAATAAATGTCTAATTTTAATAGTCAGGCCTAAAGAAAGACCTGCAATAAACAGATTTAGCTCTTGCATAATGTATGTTTAAGTCAGACAATAATGTTTGACTGAAAATGTCATAGTCAATGCCACATTTGCTACCTTTGAGACACAAATTTTGTTTATTTCTATGAAATTTGTTAGACCAACAAACAAAGCTAGGTTATGTCAATCATCTCTTGGACACAGTGCTATCTTCTACAAAATAAATATTGCAATACTGATTGGAAATTAATAAAAAGGATTATCATACTCACCATTCCTCTAAATATAGCTAATAAAATAGCAGCAATAAAGAAAAATACAAAAAAGAGATCTTTAGGTCTTTTCAGGATACTTGGTACCTAAAAAATATATAATTATATTTTAAGCTGATAAGTTGTAGTTTTTTGTTTTACTTGATGAAATCTGGCACTATATGTATGTTTTTGTCGTAGTCTTTGTAAGCTAAATAAGATATAACAATGTAGACACAATCAATTCAAAGCACTGAATACCGGTATCTGAATTCATCAGATGTCAGAATTTTGAATGTGCGTTGCCACCACGGACAATTCAGTGAAACAATCTGAAAAGTTGCAATAGATGTACAGTAGGATCATTGTAATGCAGAATCTGGAACATTATCATTAAAGATTTCATTTCACAGTCCACACATATCCCTTCCAAATCCCAAATTTGACTGTTTGCAGTTCAATAGGTTATCGGGTTTAATTAATCAATTAATAAATAGAAAAAAGTTCTGCTACTTACATGCATATAAGACTTGATATGCATAGGACGATCTTTTAAAAACTTAAATCCAGCAAACAATGGCACCAATAAATAAGGAACATTCAACAGGTATGCCCACTTAACATCATAATCACCTGTAAAATTAAACATACATTAAAATTAAATGTTATTTAAACTATTAATTAGACATTTATTAACAAACACTTAGCTATTAGTTAATATTAATAATTTCTAATAATTAGCATTTATAATGTCTAACTGCAGATCAATCATATCCCATTATGTATATATAGTAGATCAAAAATTAGGTACATGTGTATTTGTTTGTTCTTAAAATCATTATTTCTGCAGGTCAATCATATACTCTTCAAAATGCAAATGCAAATACCCATGCAGGTTGTGATGATAAATAGTCATGGACACTTGACATGCTTTGAGAGTAACTTCACAGATGAAGAACTTATCGCCCCCAGCAGAACCAGTGAGCTGCATGTGTGACAGGCAATAGCACCATACACGTGGGAGGGGTTCATTGTCAAATTTGACACTTCAAGGAAGGGTTGATGAAAACTGCCGCGTGCTGGTTTATCCTATCCATGTTTGCTTTTCTTTCGGTTCTTGCATAAGATTTACTGTTTAGCGTATCTTTGCTTTAGTGTGTTACGTTTAATTTGATCGGGAGAAGTGTTCGTCGATGTCACCCGACAACACTTCAAGAATTGGCCATGGCACTGCACGAGGAGTGGGTCAGATTGCCCCAAATCGTGATTGGACGGTTGATAAGGAGCGTGCCACGACGAATTGCTGAATGTCTGAGGATTGGTGGAGCAATTACTCATTATTCAGACAAAAATCAAAAACGTCCATTTTCACTTTTGACAGTGTATCTCTTTGCAAGTGAAATGGGGCCGTCAGATAAGCCGCCCATATGGACTGTTTATGTTCATGTGTAGGCAATTGGCCTGTTATTAACATACACGGGTTACCTCTAATAAAGATAGGTTGCCAGGAAACGAAACATATGCCCACAGCAGCTAAATCGTCTGGGCAGTCAAAAAGAGTTGTCGCATATTTTTACTTTTTTCGGTAATGAAACATTTATAATACACTAAAATCTGATTAAGAGTAACAACTCATTAAGTAATTATCAGAAAATCATTGGAATTTGTTTGGTTTTTATAAAGTTCTGCCCCATGCTAACGTTTAGTATAAGAAACATTTAATATCATGGATTTAGTTGTTCAAGTTATCAAAATTCAGTGGAAATCAATATACTTGTTTGTCGCAAGACCTTAAACTCTGTGTATCAATCTGAAGTCAATTGGATGATAACTTTAGCCTTTACAGCATCCACAAGATATTTTGAAGTGATCAAGGGCCCTAACTCTGGCAGTAATTATGGGAAATTGCTGAAAATCAATAGGCTTCTTCGTCTCATGACCTTAAACACTGTGTATAAATTTAAAGTCAATCGGATATTAACTTTAGCCTCTAGAGCGTCCACAAGCAGCGTCCAAAATTGCTTGTGGACGCTGGACGGACGGGGGCGATGATAATATATGACCACATTTTAATGTAGCCGTATAAAAACAGCAGTGCATTTCCGCAGTTTTATATTGTTACTGAATATCCTGTACTTTTTTTGAAGAGTATATTTCAGTATGCATTTATACTTGTGTCTTTTTTCTTTCTATTTCTTGTATACACTATATGGATACTAGAAAATAGAATTTATCAACATTGAGTACAAAACATTTACCTAGGAGATTTCCTGGTAAAAATACAACCATGGTATGAAGTAGAGATCCAACCCAATACAGTCCTACTTCACGGTAACTTTTTCTGAAATAATAAGATGAACACTTTCAAAACATAACCTTCTATATTTTCAACAAAAACTAAAATATAGATTACATTTGTCACATCATGCACAAATTCTTTGAAAATTTTATCTATTGTTCAGTTTCGTTATTTTTTTGTTTTTTTTTAACATTAAAATCTAGTTAATAGGAATTTCTTACCCTTGACAGAAGAGGTAGATCATTAATAAATACATAGCATAATTAGCCATTGCATCCCAATAACTTATCAAAGCACCATGAACAGTAAAAAGATATGGCTCTCCTTCTTTAAAATAAGTTGTCATAAAACCTGTCACATAGCCATCAAACTCTAAGCCAACAAGTAGATCTATAACACAACTCCATGAAAATGTAATACAAGCTGAAAGTATATAAAAAAATCCAGAAAATATTATATTTTCTTTTTGACCAAATAAAATTTCATATTCTGATTTAATTCAAGGTAAAGCTTGGTTGTGGATATCCAATTGAGTGGAATGAAAGTAGTTTTTACAGAATTACCACAAAGTAAATATGTCCAGTGATAACCATGGCTATATTGACTTTTATCTACACACTTTGAAACATTGTTTATCATAAAAAATCAAAAACACACACGAGACTAATATATTATGACTAAAATGTTATATTGGACTACATTTCTGACTAGAACCATAGACTACGGTATTATCTATGGTAGAACGGAAGGAAAATTTGTCATTGGAATTTGAAGCATCACATTGTTTAATATAGGAAATAATGATTGCTCCCGCAGTATCTATTTTTTCTTTGAATGAAAGTGGGTCAAATGTAGCGTTATCTCTGCTGTGAGGCGATATTAATTAATATTAGACAAAATAACACACAGTAATATCTATATATTATACAAATATAACCCATTAGAAACTACGTACCGTACATAATTGGATCAACTTTTACATATTTACGTCTGATATACCACACCGGTAAAATAGTCGCCAAAGTTAAAGCGGCAAACCCTACGAATACAATAGCAATAGGTTCTTTCATCAGATTCAGCTTATTGACTTGATAAGCTATTGGAATACTGCTCATAGAAGATAGAAAAACAACCAAAACAACGGGAACATCCATCTTGAAAATAAACGATAGTTATGCGTGTAGAAAAGTACGTTTTCTTATCAATTCTCGTCTGCTCCTACGCGCGTTATTGACACTTTGTAATAAACTTTCGATCTTTAACACCTTAGGGACCGGTCATTGTTTGTGATTTAGCCGACAATTTAATTGTTTTCATAAATTCAGTTTTATTCTTCATATTAATAAAAATTACCAAAATGTTCTCCACTTATATCGAACAATTTTCTAAAGGTATTAATAATTTCTTTCAATGTTTAAATTTCGAATATACCACAAGAGAAATGAAATAGTGTTCGTCAAGGGGGACAACTCCTGTTTGGAAAAACGGTTGCAGACCACTATTAATTTCCCTTCTGACTTCAGTAAATTCTAGTCTCTTTGCCCAGTTCTACCTTTTCGTTGAACTTAATGCTCTCCGCCACAGATGAAGCATCTGATTGTTCCTGTACTTCCTTTTTAAGCTGCAATATGAAAATACCCCCACCTCTGTTATAAGGCTATTTTGGAGTTCTTACCTTCTATTTTTCATCATTATTCTCTTTTGTTTGCCAAAAGGAATCATTTCTTGCCACATCTGACACAAATTTGTAGTAATCCAACACTTTTTTTCAAATGGAATTCGGGATTTAAAAACAAAAGACCAAAAGCTGCCTACCACTTCAAACGTATTTTGTTAAGTTTTTCAATCGCAAAATTCTACCTAAAAGTGAAATTGACAAAACCCCCCAAGAAACACAGTTCTTGTCAAAATAACATTTATCCATTTTTTTTTTTATGAAATCTATTAAATATGGATATGATGTGTAGAATATGCATATCTATAACATATCTTTCCTTGTAGGCTACTTTTGCAATACTTGGGTGCTATTGACTAAAGAATTGCTCTAATCTGTTTGTGTCAGTAATTAGTAGGACCTATGTACAAAGTTGCCCTCAGAACAAAATCTTTACATTTTCAAGGTGTCCTATCTAGCTCTGGATTTTAAATGCATTTACAGTAGACTTGGAACGAGCATCTTTTGCAATACAACAAGCAGTTAACATGCCAGATACACCCACATTTTGTAAGACATGGACGGAGAACAAGCTAAAAAAACAAACTTTAATACAATCAGGGGCCATAATCCATGAAGTTAGGGTCCGATACATGCCACTATCGAAATGAACTAAGATCTTTGAGATATCAACCTATATTGCAAGTTTCGTTAAAATCGGATAAAAATTGTGACCTTTAAAGTGTCCACAAACAAATGTGAACATCCTGACGGACAGGGGTAACAAGAATATACACACACATGTGGGCATATAAAAAAATACATCCTCTAATCATTTTTTGATATTTTATTACTTTGGCAGTGATTTTCATACAAAATGTCCTTTACACAATCGAGATGTTTTATAGTCTTAGTTTATTTTTCCATTAGTTTACATCGTTCATGGTATGCCTTCTTCGTCCGTAAGTCTCGCCACGTTGGTGGCAGTCCATTTTGTAAAAACTGGCCACATTTCTGACATGGAGTTGAGAAAAGTGTTGAATATGACTGCAACCAAATCTGTTTAATAGATAAAAGGAAAACATATCTGTGATAAATCTTAGAAATTGTTCAAATTATTTAGAAGGAAGGATTAGTATCCTAGAAAGGTCGAAACATATTAGAACTTCTACAAGAACAGTGTTACTTTGTGAACTAAAAGGAATTTCTCTCTTTTTTCAATTAAGTACTGCCCGATGTCCTTAGATATTTTTTGAAGTGTAACCATGGACAGCTGTGAGATAGCTAGTTATTAATTCTACTGAAATGCACTAGAACATCAGACATATATTTGCCACAGACAAATGGACGGCCAAATTGCAGCTTTGTCATACAAACATATTGTCTACAAAATATATTGTCTTCTGGAAGCCGTGAACTGAGCTTGTAGCAAATATCCATTAAAATTCCATTCTCCATGCCATTTTCTTTCTGAACTCAACAATGTCATTACCCAGAAATCAACTTCCGCATAAATGAAATGAAATGGGGTTTAACGTCCTACTGGGCTAATGAAGATGGGTATATGCCATACAGTGTGCTATGAGGGAAATTTTGCCCGGGCAGCGGCACTATGGCCTACTTATATATATCGAATTCTAACTGCCAAGGGATCTTTTACGTACACACCAATGTATACACAGGACCTTGGTTTTCTGTCCAATCCAAATGACTAGACAGCTGTCCTTGTCAGGCCCTCCATCCTGCACCACTCACAAGGGGAAACCACCCCGGAAAATCCTTATGAACTTTCTCGGCCAATGCAGGGATCGAACACATGATCTCCAAGCTAGTGAGCCAGCGTTTTACCCCTTGACTCCCCAATTTTGGCATAAACAGATGCTAGTATTCAACTGGGCATATCTAAAGGACATGTAAAAAAATTATTCTGGTTCATAGGGACTGCCTCATCACTGCATAATCTGTTTTTATTTCAAAAAATAAATTTGTTCTCAATGATTACTGCACATTCATATGAATATTTGTTTATTTTGTAATGAATATATTTAATTTTCCAGAGAAGAAGTTGTACTTACAATTAGAGATTTAATGGCAATTTCTGGCATTTCTGGTGCATAATAATGAAGTGTGGCAGCTGTAACATGTTGAGTTATCTGTAAAATAAATGGATAGGGTGTATAACTACAAGTATGTATCAACAAAATGGCCAAATATCTTATGAAACATAACCAGTGGCTGCCAGGCAGGATACACCCACATTTTGCAAGAGATGGATAGAGAACAAGCTAACAACAAAAACAATTTTTTTGTACAATCAAGGGCCATAATCCAGAAAGTTATGGTCTGAAATGTGCAAATATCAAAAGGGACTGAGATTTTTGGAATATAAAGACATGTTTTAAGTTTCATCAAAATTGGATTAAAATTGTGACTTTTAGAGGGTCCATAACTTTTGTATTGCATATTTATACACAATTTGCGTACAAAGAGTGGACATTTTGTTGGGCTTTTTCATTTCAATTGTCCTGAAATTCAAATTCAACCTTCATCATGGGGGAATGGTGAAATATCTAAATGGTTTTTAAAATCGGAAAAAAATTTGTTACCTCTAGAGAATCCACAAGCTAAAAATGCGATTTTTTGACCAATCATGGGCCATAATCTAGGAAGTTACCTTCGGATATGGGTATCGATACCCTTTATCATTTGAAACGTTATGAAGATTAAAAAATCTCTACTTTAACCTAAGTCTGTTGTACTGCTGTTGCACAGGGATTCTTAAATATCAATTGAGATATCAATAAGAGAAGAATAGGATTTACAAAGCTTTACAATTTAAATATATTTAAAAAAATTTGGCAAGTTTCAAGGCATATCATATTCAATTATTGTATGTATTGTCTCAAGATAATCATTAGTGCATGAGGCGCAATGTGACATACTTATAATTGCGTGGGCACCTTATTAGATCAGAAGGTCTGCCAATGAGTCAAAAGACATAGTTCCGACCCCAGGCTTGTACATGACAAGGACCATGCTGGTGGCCTGCCTAATCTGGTTGGTTTTCTCTGAGTCCTCTTGATTTCTCTCACTTCAAAAGGCCTCTACACGCAAGGTAGTTATTGTAATCACTTAATGTTGAGTGGACGTAAAACCTCATTTATTTCTCTACTGTTGTAAACAGATTTAGTGCATTTTCTTTTTAAAGTTTATAGATATACTACCTTTTGAAATACTTGATATCTTGATGATGACCATATATCAACCTTTTAAACAAAGATACAAAAAATTACAATAAAAAAAGAAGGATATATAAAAATGCCATTTATATCTAAATTCTTAGAATATTACTACAGGAACTTACACACTATCATTAAAAATAACAAGCCAACAGTGAGGCTGATGTCCCCCGCCGAAATTAGAAAATAATTAGAGGACACATATAAATTTATCACAAATTATCTTTTACAAAGTATTGAACAATCAAACAGTATATCTTTACTTATAGTCTAACAATCAAAGTAGGAGAGTTATTGTTTTCCAAAGTCTCGACCAATCAAATTGCGTATCGCTCTGCTTACCCTGAGCAGAAAATGCTCATTATCAAACTTAGTCAAGGTATTACTGTAATGAAACTATACACCAAGTTTCATCAATCTCACTTAATTAGAACTAAAGTTATCGTGTCCCAAAGCATCAACCAATCAAATTGCTTATCTCTGCTTACCCTAAGCGGAAAATGCTCATCTTCGAACTCCATCAAGGCATTGACCTAATCAACACATACACCAAGTTTGAACATTCTAACTCAATTAGGAAGAGAGTTATCGTGCCCCAAAGTATCAACCAATCAAATTGCTTATCTCTGCTTAACCTAAGCGGAAAATGCTCATCTTCAAACTCCATCAAGGCATTGACCTAATAAACACATACACCAAGTTTGAACATTCTAGCTCAATTAGGAAGAGAGTTATTGTGTCCCAAAGCATCAACCAATCAAATTGCTTATCTCTGCTTACCCTAAGCGGAAAATGCTCATCTTCGAACTCCATCAAGGCATTGACCTAATCAACACATACACCAAGTTTGAACATTCTAGCCCAATTAGGAAGAGAGTTATCGTGTCCCAAAGCATCAACCAATCAAATTGCTTATCTCTGCTTACCCTAAGCGGAAAATGCTGTTCTTCGAACTCCATCAAGGCATTGACCTAATAAACACATACACCAAGTTTGAACATTCTAGCTCAATTAGGAAGAGAGTTATTGTGTCCCAAAAAGTGTGACGGACAGACAGACGGACGGACAGACAGACGGACGGACGGACGGACGGACGGACGGACGGACGGACGGACGGACGGACGGACGGACGGACGGACGGACGGACGGACGGACGGACGGACGGACGGACGGACGGACGGACGGACGGACGGACGGACAGACAGACAGACAGACAGACAGACAGACAGACAGACAGACAGACAGACAGACAGACAGACGGACGAACCCATTTTAATAGTCCCCTGCTTTCTTCGAAAGGCGGGGGACAATTACAGAAATCGATGACCCACTGTTTAAAAATGATCGTTAATTGTATGTAATTGAATTACCTTGCCATCTTCTCCATGGAAATCTTCTGTGTAACCTTTGACTTTTACCCATTCTATAACCATACCTCGTAGCACTAATAAAGCTTTCAATGTTTTACCTAAAACTACCTGAAAAGTGAAAACACAGTCAACTTATTAAATTTTGTACACAGGCACATGTAATAGGCTACTGGACACTATATTAGCTCCTTTATGGTTTACTACACTTTCAAAATTCCAATTCATTTTCATGTTTGTTTTTGTGTAGAAATTGCTATTTTTAGCGACTAATTATCAATTTACATACACCGATAACCATCATCAATTGACAGCACTATTAGATTTAAACATACATTATGCAAGAGCTAAATCTGTCTGTTGCAGGTCTTTCTTTAGGCCTGAAATGTTATCTAAATTATTAATTAGACATTAATTAACCTATCCAGACCATAATCAACTCTAGATGGCATCGCTAGCCTGCGATCTTTAGTGGATTGTGAGCCGATTTACTGCACAACTTTCCATCACGTTTTAAAGATTAAATGGATAATCGAGACTATGCTGTTTATCGGACTGACTTTAGTAATGATGATCAAGGCTAGCTGCAAATATCAACCGCTTAGTTCTCGGTTCATAGTGGATTAATTTGAATGAAATTTTCAGCAAATTGCCTTTACATTATCTAGTTTTTAACTATTATAGTGAGAACTGCCAACTTGTTATCGAAGCTCCCATAATGTATCTTTAAGTAGTCACCACATTAAATAAGCAGTAATTAAGAAACTAACCAGTACAACAGCGGAACTACCAAGTGGTCTAACAACTGATATATGCATTGTGTCTCTATATTGATGTATCAAACTGTTTAACAAAATATCCACATTACTGAAATAAGAAAAAAAAACATGACAACTTCTTATTCCATTTGTTAATGTTTCTAAAAGTATTATTTGCAGCCATCTCAAGGATTCAGATAATAATAAGAAGTTCTTTAGGAAAGCACTAATAATGTGTGTACATTGTGATTACAAATTAACGGTAATAGTAACTGAGGGATTGGTTCATCTACTTCACGGCAAGTGACATCATAAAACAGAAATCTGGATACTGAATTAAAGGAGCAGTGAAAATAAATTGTGATTCGGGATGGGAACGCCTTGCGCTTTGTGTTTACCTAAATATGCTACTTTCCATATCTCAAACAGTACCAAAAGCTCTTGATTCTCAAATGACATCATCGGTATCGCCCCACTGCTTCGTTATTTTATTCATTCAGCAGTGTGGCATTTTCCCGTCTACTTACTATACCAAAAAATGCCCTGCTGGGTATAAATGTCCGGTTTCAGAATGCCACACTTATCTAACTTTGATGTTTCAGTTATTAATTTATGTAGGATGCAAACACTTCAAATAATCAATGGAAATCTACTGTGAAGGTTCTAATAACTATTTTGTCCACTGCAAACGTCCACTTTAAAATAAATTATTACAATGCAAGATACCTTTGAGGATAACAGCATGCTGGTTGACTTCTGCGTAATCTTTTTGCAAACGTCCCACTTTGTATAGGTGTTCTTTTAAATGGATTTTCTTTCAGTAAATTGTTGGCATAAGATGCCTGTTCCTTCATCTATAAATAGACAGTACATGAAGAACTTGTTGGTTTTAATTTATTACAGAGATTATTATAAAAGATGATGGAGTCATTTCTTAAGAATGTTTTAAGGAAATGAAACGAATTGGGTCTAGTCTAATGTCTTGTCAATACAAAACTCTGGCTACTGGTACTTAGAGACTAAAACATGAACATTTTCTTTGTTGAATTTCAACTGATACGTGGCCACCCCCACAAACCATACATAAGCTAGCTCGTTCTATTTGCAGTAAGGAGAGAGAGAGAGAGAGAGAGAGAGAGAGATGGGGTTTAAGTCCACTCGACACAAACTAGGTCATTTCGGGACTAACATATGGTTCAATTTTATTTCTATAATTTGCTTGTGTGTAGGGGTCTTTAGCAGTGGGAGGAAACCGTAGGACCCGGAGCAAACCCACGAGGTTGGACAGGCGACCCTACTCCTTGTCACGTACAACCGGGGATTTGAAACCACGCCAGTTGACTCAATGACAGACTTGATGATACAGCGCGCATGTGCTAACCACTAAGCCATCCACCCCCCCCCTATTTGCAGTAAAGTTTAGTACAATTCAAAGTTTGCAAAAAGTGCAAATAATAAATAGCGGTTGCATTTGAGATAATACCATGAGATATAATGATATATTAACCTACAAACCTTATCTGTCCATTTGTAAGAATGTATTAACTGTGTATAGGTGGAGGTTTTATCTATTATAGGGTCTACACATATTAATGTACTGTTTGTAGAATTGCTGGCTGCTGTTAATGGACCTAATGATGAACTCCCAGCTTCTAAATCACTGTAATAAAAACAGTTAGGTATAAGATTCAGCTCATTTAATCTCTAAGAATAAGATTATACAATAACCTAGATCAACTTTAAATTTTAAAAGACCATGGTAGGACAATTGATTCCCAAACTAATATAATGAAATCAAACATTTAGTTTGCATTCCCAAAGAGGTTTAGTTCTAATCTATAAAAGCATGACAAGTTGGACTAAAGACAACTTTGACCAAGACAGAAGACCACCAATTTAGAAGACAACTTGGAACAACAAATAAATTGATAGTTGTAATTGTTTTAATACATTTGTTTTCTTTAAAGACCAGTTGGAGCAAGATAGTTGTGTTTGTTTTAATACAATTTCTGAGATTATATTATATTTTATGGGTAAGTACATAACAGCAAATAAATAAATAATCTTTATCACATCATCAATTAATCTAAAATAATTTCTGGCATGTTGATGGCAGAACGATTGGACCAATGTACTTTGGTTGGATGTGGCAGATTCGTTCAGGACACTGGACAGCAGGTAATGACAGTCTTGTACTTTCAGCGCTAGGTAAAGGAGAAACTTGTACTTTAATCAGGTGCTGAACATTCCTGACAACGGAAATGTATCTGACATTTTGATAAATGATACTGAAGTATGTTTGTTGTTTATTGCAAATTTATCGTCCAATACATATTACATATTATATGTTGATTTAAATAAAATTATTTACATACATTGAAGAATAACATTATATGAGTTATTAATCAGGGCTCACACTGGCTTTCAATTTTTTTCTGTCAAAATGGATGATAATTTTTACCTACAAATATGTTCATATTAGTTTCTGCTAACTTGAATATTTTATTTGTAAGAGATTCTTACATATGTACTTGTTGTTCACTTTAGAACATTTGGTGGTGGTAATATGAAGCAAATGGCAGACCGTTTTCTCACTTGAGAATTGTGATAACATAAATTGAAATAAAAACATCCGATTAGACTTGCTTGTATATTTTACATGTCGTATGAAGCTACAGTAAATGGCATTCAAAATATTAAATTCTCATCAAAGAGAACTCTCGGCCATTTTGATTATTTCCATTTATTTTTTTGTTTAAAGACAAAATGAAACATCAAATAATCACCACTTGGATTAATCATTAGGAGTAAATAATGACTTGAGATAGGCTTTACATATATCATTGGCAATTATCAATCAAAAAATCAATAATCCGAGACGATTGTATTATTAACACGATCCGGATTATCGGCGAGTTGATTAATCTGATTAATCTATTCTGCCACGTGACTGACACACAATGTAATGGTTAATCTAGGATAGCCCTATACAATTACAATTTTAAGATTTTTTTCCACCAGTTCTCAAAATGTTATCGTCAAAGTTGTTGCCAAAATCAAATTTTAATCGTCACTTTCATATCTTATTTTATCGCAAATTGCGACTTATGTACCGTACATAAAAAAGGGGTCACTTTTAAAAAAAATAGGCCCGTATATTTCTAAATATTTTACACTAGCCATTATATTTACCGTACCTTAAATCTGTGTTGACAGAACTCAACGTTTTGTGAAGATCATTCAACAAATATTTATCTTTCTTTTCAACGTCCTCGAATCCATCGGAGAGTTTTTGAAATACTTGAGTCACATTAGAACGAAGTCTTTGAGTAAGCTTTAGGGCCTTTTGTAGCTGTTCTATTTGATTTGGCGGTTGATTTGCCATTATTACTTATATTATTTTGATAAAATAATTCCCTTAAAACTTCTAAAATCTGCTTTGTTTATACCGGAAATTATAATAATAATATGACAGTTAGTTCCCCTGGCAAAAACAAAATATAAGCAAAAATGAAACGAAAATACTGCACAACTTCAAAACATTAAAATTAGATAAAGCAATAGAAAATAAAAATAACCGCACATTTTTTTTATTCTAGGCCTATTTGGAAGAAATCTGCTCTTAAAAAATAAAACTAGGTTAAGTCGGTTTTGTGTGTGATTACCGTTTAGCGCATGCGCAGTTGTAGGAGTCAACACCGTTATGGACGCGGTGTGCATTGACTCCCCGTGATAGGATTTCCCCCAAGATTTTCTTACGGTCAAATCGGTTTCTACACTAATATCTACCTGGAGAGGGTGTCGAGTTTCTATTGTTTGTTTATTTCGATAACTGAAATACAACTTGACGATCTTTAGGCGAAAATTTAATATAAAATAATTGTCCCTTGTATAACCGAGTATGCATTAAATAATGTGCAATTTAATTGCATGTTGTTGTTGAACCCAAATTTACAAGAAGTATTTATTACCACTTTCTTTTCTCTGTATGGAATGGGGTGATAAACATATATTCATGTTCAAGAAATGGGTGTTTTCAGATTTGTGACTTGTGTCGCTAAGTATAATCCTATTCTTTCTATCTTTTCACGGAACTGCTGAAGTCGAATCTGATCTCTTTCACTTGTAATATCTGCCATGATGATCGATCAATTGGTACTACTTGTCTAAGTACGAATGCGATAGTCAATAGAAAACTACTACTAGGTGCTTTAACGTCTGCTTCCACAGAAGTAATATATCGCAGACATGAGAGAATATGTGTGTGTGTACTTAGTGTTGTCTTATTTTCATTTTAATGGTCTTAGCGCACGCGCAGGGGTCTTTGCTGTGGGAGGAAACCGGAGTAGGCCTAGACCCACGAGATTGAGAAGGTATCTCAAAGCCACATACCGGTACTGAGTCCGGTACTCTGACACAGGGATCGAAACCACAACTGCAAGCCATCTGGCCAGCTAGAGGTCGAAGCGCGACACTCTAGCCCACAACATTTTTGCACATGCGCAAGTGCCCAGGAGAAAACGCACACCGGGAGTCAATTTAAACTGTTACACTGGTTAAAAAAATTCGTCCAGAAGCAAACTCGTCTGACAAGAAAAGTCTAGTGTAGCCTAGTAGTTAAGTCGTCCACAAATATCAAAATACGTTGGTTGAGTCGTCCGACACCAGGGCTCTAAATAACCCCACTATGTAACACTTGGCGTATCACATTATTGCTTCATTTGCACCCCCCCCCCATCTTCATTAGCCCAGTCGATGCAGAAAAGTAGGACGTTTCATTCATATATATATTTCCATTTTCATTGTCTTTATGAAAAAACTCTACAACTTTAATTTGGTGTTGCATTTCTTATTTATTTATTTATTTATTTTTTATCATTATTATTAGGTCTACTTAAAGGTCTCTATAATTTTGTATGTCTGCCATATTAGGGTTCAGTGGTGTCAGAGCTAAGGTAGGCAGACTACCGCCGCGCGAAACCGGGTACCGAATCAAACAAATTGAGAAACAAGTGAAATGAAATGGGGTTTAACGTCCTACTTTTAATTGGGCTAATTGAGCGGGCGTATGTCATACAGTGTGCTGTGGGCGAAATTTCGAGGGACTGTCGGGGGTTCTTTTTATGTAGCCTACTCGCCAACGTGAACACTGCCCTTCATCTTGCACCACCGGGGAAACTTCGGAATCAAGGTGAAACCAATAAAATACAATGCACCATTTGAATGTGAACATGATACAAAATTTAGAGGAATACCATCGAAACTCAACTAAAATTTTAAATTGATTGAATATCTTATCATGTTGTCAAAGTTGAATGTAAGGTCTACAACTTGTACAAGTACATCTTTAAATTCGCTCGATCTCGTCATTGATTTACTTTTAAACACACAATATTCCTTTCCTTTACATTTTCATTAAAGGTTACTGCCCATCTAGGGAAAATAAGAATATGATAGAAATTCCTCTTAACAAATAACAATGCAATTTATTTTCTCGATTGGTGTATATCAAATAATCTAGCATCATAGTATACATTTTGTTCTTGACAACTACTGAAAACATTGGAAAAAAATAATTTGACAACATAAATAAGAGTTACCTCCCTTATATTACAAATTACTTGCCTTTTGAGATTGATAAACGACTGAGAAGAGGGCCACTCAAACTGCCTATGCTCTATTGGAGGAGATTGATTTCCACCAGTAACTGAAGAGTCCCATGTAACCCATAGCTATCCCCTTTATACGTAAATTTAATAGGAAACACGGATTATTTCAACTGGCAATATCTAGGGGGATTAACCCCAACTCAGTTTGAAATGTTTCTGGGATCCACTTTATCTTCATATAAAGTTAACCAAGGCAACCGAGTTTTACTCTACGTGTTTCTGATAGCTTTTATTTGATGATAATTTGAACATTAAGAAGGCTACATATATATATTTGGTGCAAAGAAGACTAGGAAATTCACCTGCAAATACTGGTTGCTAGTTTTCCAATCTGATTAAAACACAGATCCTATTTCGTTTCGTTTTTTTATAGTTTATAGGATCTGGAAGAGTTGTTATGTAACAGGCGTTCTAGTAGATGTGAGGAATTAGCCAATAAAACGGTCTGTTACGGCAAGTTCTTGGCGTGCTCTGCACGGAACTGTGGGTAAACCTGTAGAAACGCCAACGCTGATTGATTAATCAATGTCTGATGTGATAGGGTAAAAAACTGCTCGTATGACCCCCGACACGACCTCCCAGTACAACTGAGCAGATCTTTATGTAGTGTAGGCCATCGAATGTATAAAAAAAACGAAACGAAATATAGATCTGTATTTTAATCAGATTGCTAGTTTTCTATTGGTCGTGTAGATATCGTTAAGTATGTTGTTTTTAGAGATATGGGAAATCAGATCTTGGCCTATATCCATTTATAAAATAAGTTGTCATGTATTCTATCTTCCTCTTGAGTTGTGTTGTATGGCAAAAATACGGGTTTAGGGAATTTTCAGGGAAACGGTTAGAAAACCCACTTTATCTGAGACACAGATAATACATGTAGTTTTTTCTTGTATATAAAGTACTAACCCACTTTATCTGAGACACAGATAATACATGTAGTTTTTTCTTGTATATAAAGTACAAATATTTCTAAGTTCACGGTAGATAAATACATAACAAAAAATTAAAAATAAGTTAAAAACAAACAGACCGTTTTTACTTCTTCATTGTGATGTACAACAAATCACAAGTCAGCTTCAGATGTTATTATGCATGTATACACATAGTTGTACATAAGTCACACAGTTTTATACATAGGTACAATAATAGATTACAATGACAATAGATTATAAATGATATAAAGTAAAAATACAACAAGAGGTTGTTAAGTATATAATACATAATATATATATTTGCGGCACTTATGATAACTCACCTCTGGGTACGTTAATCCTTTCCGAACTTGTCCCATGTCATGCTGATGAAAATAATAAACAGAAATGAAATGAGGTTTAACATCCTACTTTTCTGCTTCGACTGGGCTAATGAAGATGGGCATATATCATACAGTGTGCTACGGACTACTCTTATATCGAACTCAACTGGAGTGGTTTCGATTCCTCGGTTGTACGTGACAAGGAGTAGGATCGCCTGTCCAACCTCGTAAGTTTTCTACTGGTATGCACGTAAAAGATCCCTTGGCAGTTGGAGTTTGATATAAGCGAGAGATAAATGGGGTTTAACACCCACTCGACACAAACTAGGTCATTTTGGGACTAACACGGTTCAATTTTATTTCAATGATTTTATTTCAAAACAGCGTTTGTGTCCTTGAGATAATGTTCATACGTCATTATGGCCCGCCCATTTGTACCCCTCAACACAAATCCATAGTTTTTTTTAATAAATACCTTTTCTATAGCTTCCTGGTCCTAGCAGAATCTGACAAATGGGACCATCAAATATACGATAAAAAGAATGAAAGAATGTCATCTATGCTGAGATGGTGGAGCAATGACTCATTTTTACTCAAAACATTCAGAAGTTAGAACATCTTTTAATAACAATAAATTCTGAAGCATTAGAGGTAGTCTTAGAAGCGGAACTTTAGTTTTAATATCGTTACCTAGTATCCCACGTAGTTTATGTTTACATAATGTCATTAAAGGTTGTGGTTGATTAACATTTTCTGTCAGCCAGTTTACGATCGTAGAGTTTAGCTCTTCATTTTCTCTGAACTGATTACACCCCTTTGATGAAAGACCACAACTGTATAGAAGTTTCAATAGCTCAAACTTCCCAGTGCCTTCGTCAAAGTATCTTGATGTCCACATTTCATGACAAGATTTCATCCACCTGTGCATATTGTCTGGAAGAGAAACATTTTCTGATAACAAATATTCCAGCGGGAAAGTAAAATCAATCAACTTGTACAGACATGCTAAAACTACACACGGAACACCATCATCACCTAAAGCGTCCATGTTTACATTTTCAAGAACAAAGAACTTCATCATTGTTTTTATTTTGTTGAAATTCGCACGATGGCACGAATCCGTACATGTAATATCGCGTAGACAACAACCGTTAGAAAGAAGAATGGTGTGTAATGCATTGTTTTGTGTGGGATAATCGGATGTCACGTCAGCGCCAGCATCCATCAGATATCGAACAAACCCAAGATCAAATTCTTTAATCGCCATTGCCATTTTGTCTGTAAAATCCACTTGACAACCAAGTTCCACTAAACATTTGACAATAGAGGCGTCTAAGCCAACATTAATAGCTTGCTCTGCTAAATTGTAGTCGATCAAAAAGTCTGCTGATGTCACTGTAATTTCAAAGTCACATCCTGCACCAACTAGTAGCCGCAAACAAGCTATGGTTTTAGATGCCGGTGGTTTGGATGGTTTATTAAAAAGGCAACATCCAAGGGCAGTAAATCCACTTTTATTTCTGAAGTCTATAGATGTACGGTACCGTGCTTTATGTTTCAAGTAATGAGTCGGATGTTCTTTAAACAATTCCTCATCATATTCATAACTGTCTATGGTACTTTCAGAAACATCATCATGGTCATTCTCATAATGATCACCATCATCATCACCAGAATCTTCATCATTGGACATCCCACCAACTGTAACAGTTTTATTTGATTGAGTTAATAAGTCTTGTTTTGGGCCATGTATATATCCTGTCTGGAGAATTTCTGACACACAGTCAACTTCACTCCGACTGGCAGCTACCATTAGAGGTGTACTTCCCACACTGTCAAGTCCCCTATATAATTGGGATCCAGCTTTTATCAGCAACTTTAAACATGCCACTTTGTCTTCCGATCTGACACCTTCATCAGCTGTTAGACAATAATACATGGGCGTTTTATCTTGAAGATCAACTATGTCCACATGTGCTCCAGAATTCAACAAAAATTCAACACACTCAACGTTGCATGTTTTTGCAGCTTGACCTAATAATGTTGGGTTTTGCAATTCATCGTTTACCAGATAACTGTTCTCTTTGACAATTTTTCTAAGTTCTTCTAATTTTGAATCTGTTTTCACCACCGCCATTTCATTTTATATCAACAAGTCAAAACATCGTTCTTACAATACAAAAATACAACAAACATTTGTTAACAGAGTGAACTCAAAAACAAATCACTTCAACACGGTCCGTGCGGAATTTCTCACTCGTTATCCAGCACCCGGATTCGAAATGAAGTTAGCAAACATATTCCTAGCCCCAATATCACGAAAATAATTGTTACCTTTATATTAGAAAATAACATTTTAAGACATATTAATGCAAAGTATATATGATATAGACACCCCGCCCCCCACTGAGCACGCAGAAAAGGGGTGCGTACATTTTGCATCAAAAACACCGAAACCAGCTTTGGTGGCTTAATGTTTTTTTATTTCCCAGAATCAATTGATGAATAAACTACGAGAAGCCTCCCATATTGGGTTTTCGAGATATATTACCGGATGCAAAATGGACGTACTCCTTTTCTGCGTGGTCAGTAATTAGCCTAGTGTGCGATATATTAGTATGTTTACGGTAATATGTCTTAAAATGTTATTTTCTAATATAATGGTAACAATTATTTTCGTGATATAGGTTTTTATTGGCGCTAGAAATATGTTTGCTAACTTCATTTCGAATCCGGGTGCTTTAATACGGGTGAGAGATTCCGCTCGGTTCAACACGGATGTTACCGTTGACGTCATATATCATGGATTTTACGGTTCATATTTTTAGCACGTGATTCATCTCGTCACGTGACTAACCTACTGGGCGCACTCGGCAAACCTCAGAAATTTCCGTGCTACTGGGCCTGGTAGGGATATATCCGGCTTGTGACAGCTAAACATATACATTAGGACATGCTAAATTTAGCCTTGGTAAGACCTCTTGTAAACCAGAATATTTAAGCTTATAATTAAAATACATATTTTAGCGCTATAGGAATCACTTGCAAACAACACTATTTTGCTCCCGGTGAAATTGTATTGGTAATCCTTTTTAAAAAAAACCGATTGAATCCATGTCGGGACATAATCTAGCTATAGGATTTCAATTTTTTTTAAAAAAATTAAATATCAAATAATCACGGGACCTTACAAAATCTGAAATTTCACGAGGCCCCTGGATTGTGATTTGGGTTGATAAATGGTTTTTAGCCCAAATCACACTGTGGGAAGGCATCTTTAAGCGGCAGGTTCTCGTTAAATTCGCCAAATGTTTGGCGCAATATAGCCCGGCTGGAGTTGACGCGCCATTAAACAACATTTCATTCATTCATTAAGCGTCAGGACGCTTTACCCAATACTACCCAATACTATACCCAATTGGCCAATAACACCTAATATTAATTAAATACTACCAAATACCACCCCATAATACCACTAACATAATACTTCAATCATATTTTTAAAAATTGTATCAATTCGCGTAATTAGCAAAATTTTACGATAAACTGGAAAAGCCTATTTTAAAGTATCAATACCTGTAGTGTCTGAAAGTCTAGTGCTTGGTAGGCCCTTTCTAGTCTCGGTCACCCAGAACCCCCTAGTCTTCAACGTACAGAGACTAGGCCCTTTTCAGTTTGTAGAGAAATAATTCTGGATTCGACATGACTTGACATTTTGGCTTCATTTAGAGCAACTCGAATCAATTTGATACCGAAGTTTGGCCGACTGGTTGGATGAGTTTGTCTATCTTGTTTAATTCAAAATGTTATTTAAGGGTTAAATTGATGCGTTATCACTGGTCATACAAAAGCAGAAAAACATTGGTTAGCTATAGCCTATTTGGACACAGATCACCAAATATTCCTACGTGTTTGCTGCATTTATGTTGCCTATAAAACAATAAAATGTTAATTTTTCTCCTTTTCAGGCCTCTTTTTATGTTGTCAAGTCTGTCATGACTACTTTTTTGACTTCATTTTTTCAGGAAATTAATGTAAAGTTCCAGACATCTTGCTTCAGCACAAGGATTGCAATACAAATTTGTAACATGCCTCTGAGGTTTGAGATGTTGGAAACATTGAAATATTCCCAAATTTGTGAAAATTGTGTATTCTGTGACCCTTCTGTTAGAGAGGGGTGATCATAGACCAAATATGGCATTTTTTTCATTCATCAAGGCCTATTTTTAACCATAATTCATATTTATTGCACCTATTTTAGTTTATATGTGCATATGTTAGCCAGGGATGGTAAAACATAGCTGTTAGACAGATTCCTTTGGTAATGTAAGTTCTGCAACCATAGATTAGATTAATTCAATCAGTGGCATGTTCAGGGGGTAAGCATACATTTTTCAGTATAGATCTCTAATATTACAATCATTGCAACTGGTGTGCATTTTTTCTGTTTGCATATTGTCCACAGATTCTAAAAATATATTTCTTGTCCGTCCGGATATTTAAAAAAGTGGAAAATTATTGGTATTTTGAGAGATGCTACATGTAAATTTTGTACATTTTTCATCACATGGCAGTAAAAAATTATATTTTTGAAAAAAATTCCAAATTATGAGTGTTTTGTATGTAGTTTCTTTGTTACTTGTCTAATTTTTTCACAGAACTCAGATACTGCCTTTAATAAGAAAGATTTTTAAATTTTAGCACAAAAGGCCTATGGACCTGAGATGCACCAGTGTACATAAAGCAGCATGTGTACTTAAAGGGCCATCATTTTTAAAGTTATTCTTTGATTTTGATTTTCTTTCACCGGCATGTTGCCAGAACACATGGGAAGGAAATAAAAAAGGCCTTTTGGTGATCCCTGAAGTTTCACCCCTATATAGGACACAGATCACCAAATATTCCTACGCCGTCACCCACGAAACAAGGGCCAAAGCTATTTTTAGTCTTCCTCTCCCTTTTCCTTCCTTTTGCATGGCGATTTTTGTTGACTTTTTGGTGTAGAATTGAGGAAAAGGGTTTGAAAATACATTTTCTGCCAGGTTTTGGTGAATATTCATAATTTTGATGCGGAAGGATACAAGAGTTGAGAGGTTGGTTACGTTGTAATGTAGGGCCTGAAATTGCATGTTTACTTGTCTCTACTTCCAGCTTGTGTATCTCAAGTTTTTCATGAAGAACCTCATACGTGCTTTTGGGCAAGTGGTTGCCACATGTTGCTCCATCTGTGGTAGAAAGCGTTCTACCCAACGAAAATTTGGGAAAAAGTTAGAGCCGGTCTAAGATACGAGAATTAACATTGGAGTCAATGGGGAAATCTTTAGTGATCTGTGTCCAGACTGTCTGTGTGTGATAAGGCTGTCACTGATATGCCTTAGTTTTGAAAATATGAAGATTAAATTCTCAGAAAATATGAATAAAATAGTTTGGCTACAGAAAAACTAAAAAAAGTTAATTAAAAAAAAAAAAAATCAAAGTTTTGAAGAAAAATTGTGATTTTACTGCAAATTTCTCAATTTTCAATTTTTATTGAATTTTTAACAGTAAGTAAAATATTCTAATGCCCAATGTTGGCTTATTCAGTCTCAGAAAGCACAGATAAAATGAACAGTATTGAAATTTCACCAAATTTTGTCTAAAAATCAGGAATATTCACAAAAAATCTTGAGATTCCCCCCATTTGGATGTAGAAATTAATATTTTCATGACTACTAAAATGAGTCAAAATGTCTAAAAATGCCCATATTTTCTTTGCTAATATAACTTAGATGGGATCTACATGTTTGTCAGGTTTAGAAATAGCTCCAGCTTTCCTACAGAAAATTGAAAATTGGTAACACTGAGTTAATAATGTACAGCAGATGGGTTTGTACAAAATGTTCAAAACAGGGGTTGGCTCAATTTTGCCACTATTTTACCCAGAATAAGCATTTTTTTCTTCTTTGAAACATTAAATTCTTGCATTTCCTTCATGTAGGAAGCAATATCCCAGCCTTTCTAGACATTTTTTACTCCATCATTCTGTTTAGAGAGGCAATAAATGCCCCACCCCACCCTTTTCTATTAATGTGTTTTGAGGGATTTAAATGCACCTGTGTTGACATGTAAATGATCTTAATTGGAATTTGTGGTTGAATTACAGCTAAGAATGTTATTTTTCACCCAAAAATATTTTTTTTGTGCATTTCAAGGATTTCTAACCCTTATTTGTTCAGAGTCAAACGTAGAACCCTGAGGCATTTCAGGCCAATGAGACCAGACCCAGATATAAAACTGGTGTAGATGTGTAAATGTCAGTTTAATGTTCAATATTTTCTTATCAAAATCCAGCATTTGTGGTGTTTGCTGCATTTATGTTGCCTATAAAACAATAAAATGTTAATTTTTCTCCTTTTCAGGCCTCTTTTTATGTTGTCAAGTCTGTCATGACTACTTTTTTGACTTCATTTTTTCAGGAAATTAATGTAAGGCGATATGGCTAGGTGACTGCTAGAGGCTTGGGAACATTCGTTGTAAAACAGTTTGGCTTCATTTAGTGAGTTGGGTAGGGAATTGCTTGATGTGACGACATCTACTTATCTAATACAAAATGGAAGGTCTGGTATAAGACGGACAAAACAGTAAAACGTAGACAGCCTGGAACTTAACATCTATTCGTACAAGTAAATTCAGGAATCAGTGCTCATCTGTAGTTTTAGTGCCCAAACTTTTTCTTGAAATGGTTATGAAATGAAATGAAATGAAATTTAACGTCCTGTTTCACGTTAAATTTTAACAAAAGATAAAATCCAAATTTTAGTAGATACTTCAATTTTGATTGGCTAAGCACTAAAATCAATCTAATATTATCCAATCAAATTAGTAAAATTTGGATTTTATCTTAGTTAAAATTTTGTGAAACAAGCCCCTGCTCCTAAACTGGGCTAACCCAATACGCCAAGCAGTGTGCTATGAGGGAAATGGGTAAGTGGGTAAGACGCTGGCTCGCTAGCCTGGAGGTCGGGTGTTCGATCCCTGCATTGGCCGAGAAAGTTCATCCAGATTTTCCGGCATGGTTTCCCCTTGTCAGTGATGCAGGCCGTAGGGCCTGACAAGGACAGCTGTCTAGTCGTTCGGATGAGACGAAAAACCGAGGTCCCGTGTACACATTGGCGTGCACGTAAAAGATCCCCTGGCAGTTGGAATTCGATATAAGAGTAGGCCGTAGCGCCGCTGCCCGGGCAAAATATCCCTCATAGCACACTGCATGGCGTATGCCTGTCTTCA